AAAGAACATTCTGTTATGTTTAGATATGTGAAAATCTTTAATAAATATATTTTGATATTTATGTAATAATCCTACTCAAATTAGTAAAATAGTTAACATTTTATATTCTTTTAAGGATTTCTCGCTGTCGTCGGTCTCTATCGATTGCCAAGCATCATATAAATTATTTTATTTAGGATTCAATAAAGTTTAGTAATCAAGTAGATAATATAAATTGCTTTCCTTAGTAGATTTTATGATTTATATGATGATAAATTTAAATTAAATTTGTTGGAGATATAAATTTTGGTATTCATGTAGGAGTTGTAGTAAAAATGATGTGTAATTATAGATAAGAGTTTGAAAATTAATATTGTAGAAATTAATAGAATTAAAGATATATTTATCATCTTAAAGATTGTTATTGATATTAAGCTTTTTCTTGATATAAGTATTTGTGCTCTTCAAGCAGGTTTATATATAAAATTAGAAGAAAAATGTTGAAATGATATTGAATAATTAATATAAATGATATTTTTTGAATAAAGAATTTTTATAAGAAGAGATTTAAATGGACATGTTAGTAGAGTGGACATATTTAGAATTATTCATGATAGTTATGGCTTTGAAGTGATTAATGAAAAGGATAAAATCATATTAAATTTTATCTTAGCTTATGATTTTGTTATTATTAAGAATTTATTTAAGAGAAGAGATGAGCATATTATTATTTAGAAGAATGAATCTGATAAAACACAAATTGTTTATTTTTTTATGAGCAAATAAGATCTTCTAGAATGTAAAAATTGTAAGGTCATTCTAAATAAAATTTAAGTGCTCAATATTGATTATTAGTTTAGAATTTTAAGACAATGAGTTAGAAGATAAAAAAACATAATGAAACATTGTCATAGTATTAGATGTGAGCACATAAAAGGCAAAAATAAAATTATTTTTATGAGTAAATTTCAGGATGTCATAGGATGGGAGCACTTAAAAGACAAATAAAATTATTTTTTTGAGTAAATTTCAAGATTTCAAAATTTGGGATGTCCATGAAGAAGCTAATTATATGTGGGATAGAATAACGTTAACATTGCACACAAATTGTGTTCAATGGGGCACTAACTGGTTCTTGATTTGATGATTCTCTTTTCCTATATTGCAAACCATTGCTTATGTTAGAAAAACCCGATGGTACAAATAATAAAACATATCTTGAATGCGGCAATATATACATTTAGCTCTCTTACTTTTCTCCCAATACCATTTTAAGCTAGAATTAGATACTCTTTGGGCACATCTTTGCTGTGTCATTTGAATTGCATTCTTTATTAACTGATTTTTTTATTCAGTTTTTGCTTCGACTGAGGTGCTCTCCCACTGTTGACCTCACTTTTGGGTGAGGGTTATGGGTCTTTTATTTAGTGACTAGGATCTAGCCTTGAGACTTTTCTAGTGATTATCTTAGCATCTTAGAAATGGTACCCACCTTCTCTTTAGACATTTCAACCAAATCTTTGTTCTCTATGTTGATTCTAAATGTGATCAATTATCTTTAATACAAAGATTAGATATTACATAAGAGAACTCTGATGAGAATTCCTATAGGACCTATGGACTATAGGAAAGTCTTGCACTGTTCTACACTTTTTGGACTTCAATACATTGCATCGTCATTCATAACCACCATGATCATCATAAACATTGTATTTTCATATCACAATGTTGCAATCATTATACTCATGGGGCTGA